CAAATAAGAGTTGAACACAATGCTGACACTCATTCCACTGAAAGGTATTGACAACATGTCTTAGATCACTGTTAACCATCTCTCCTCAACTTTAAAATACATCTCATATTAGTTGTTAGCTGTTTAAGGCCGATCCAGTCTGTGAGCACCAATCAGGCCTCTGATAGTTTAGTCCACCTCTGTGAAACTCATCAGCCTCCCGTAGAATAGTGAATGCCTTTTCTTCCCCTGTTCACTTCTACAGCACTAGAACATGAAACTGTGTTCCTTCTGCTGCAGTTTAAACATGGTTTAACCAAAGTATCATACATATAATAATGAGATGTTTGATATATTGAAAGTTTCAGTTCAAACCATTGTTTTTCACTTGTAACTTTAGTGTCTCTGTGACTAATTCGATATGAACCTGTTTTTGAAGTTAAAACTCTTCTTAGTCTTTGACTTCTTTGCTCAGTACCAGGGACTCAATTCCTGGCAGCGTGCTCCGAGATCTACAACCATCTGATCAGGGTTCCCATCACGTGCACTAATGCACTGCATGGTCTGCTTGTTGCACTGTGAGGTGATTTCATTTGTCTGTGCCAGTTTTCCAATAGTGATAAAGTTTGGGACAGACACATTTGTCAGACCTTTACTTATTTACTAATATATTCACTTTCTTCAACATGTTTTATTATAAACATGTTGCATCAATTTCTAAATGAATTGTTTATGCTGTTTATTGGACATAACTTCTACTTCTTAGTAGCCCTACTGTGATGTTATCATACATCACACTAGGGCATCTGTGGTTAATTTGCAATAAAAATAGAAACTGCGTTCATTTATTTAGAGAAGGCATGAATAGGCAGCAAAGCCTTAAAACCACATATCAAAAGAGAAACTAATATATATATATATATATATATATATATATATATATATATATATATATATATATATATATATATATATATGCATGATCTATATATATATATATATATATGCATGATCTATATATAATAAACGATAATAATGTATAATAATGTAATGTATATATATATATATTATAAGAGCTGTTAAGAGAGCCTGTTTCACCCTCACCACTCCGTCCACTGGACCGGATCTGAGGCACCTTTTCCGGGTCGGGTCAGTCAAGGGGTCGGTCTGCTCCGCAAAGCCCGCGATGAGCCGCCTCTATACCCCGCCAGCTGGAATTCCCCCCCGTCCTTTAAAACACGGACTCGTCCCGTATTTGAGAATAAAACAGCGCTTCCGGTTTGGAATCAACGCGGGACGGGGGTTTGTCCCCCGTCGGCCGTAGCGTCCCGTACTGTTCTGCACTGAAGGACGTGACCCTACTGCCGGATCACTGGACCTCTGAGGCGGTGGGAAGCGGCCGAACGACCCGCCGGGGAGGCGCGGTGAGCTGGTGGAACCCAAACGGAGCGCAGGAAGCCGGTTGTTTAGTTCTTGGGACTCTGGCAACAGATGAAAGTGGTCCTCCGGTTAAACGCAGGTTCGTCAACAACGGGCGGTGCCCAGTCAGCCGAGGAGGTCGTCGTGGTCGTCGTCCCCTACTGGCCGTGTGACCTCGAAGGGGCCATCGGACAAGAAGCGAGCGATACAAGTACTTTCGCTCCCGGCGCGGAGGGTCTCAGCTCGCCCCCCCGCTGGAACCGCTGGAACCGCTGGAACTCACCCAGCGTGAGGACGTCCGGCTCGCAGGTCCGGGACGTGCTGAACTCCGTTCCTGCCGGGACTCGAACCCTCCTCCCAGTGTTGCGGGTCGTGCAGCCCGCGCGGTTTCCCGCCAAGCAGCAGCTCGAAGGGGGGAGATCCCGTAATGCAAAGAAAAGAGGATCAAGCCATTTCGTCACCGTCGTGAGTGAAGATACGAATCATGGGTTTTAAAGTCTTATTCAAACGTCCCGCGAGCGTCAGTCTGTGGTGATAAACAGATTCAACCCCTGTTTGATTGTCTCAGAATTTCGACTCTCTAAACCTTCAGTTTTATTTTTTGTGGCGGGAATGGGCTTCAATAGAATTGAATTTCAACTCAGAAGCTTTTTGATTGATACCTTTAACATTGCAACTGACAACAACTAAGTCAGACATGAATAATCTGCTTTCCCATTTTTTTCCATCCCTTAAATTTCCTCGTGTTTAAAATAAAAACTACTTTAGTCCACAGTGACCAGCAGCATCAACACAACACGTTCTACTGCAACTGTGAGTCACCTTTTCAATGCAGGACTTTTACTTGTGTTTTGTGTCTGTGTATTAGCTGCTGTACCTTAATGGTGTAAAGCATTATTATAATTAATGACAACAGGAGTTGGATGCAGAAAGAACAATGACATTTTAATGTCAACTTTAACAGTCTAGCTGGAAATAAAGCAGAAGCAAACTCAAAACATTCAACAAAATGTCTACAACGTGTCTGTGAAATTATGTCCAATGGAATATATTCAAAATTCGTTGACAAGAGTTTTTGATTTCATTTAAAAAAACAAGGTTTACTGTAAAAAATGTATCATGTGTGTGTACAAATCAAAAGGGATGTGTATCAATAAAGTACGATATGTTTGATAAATCCAACCCTCATATTAACACAAAGTACAGAGCGAACATTTGTGAATGAAGGAAAACTTGATTCTGCTCTCACTGTTTTTTCTGTATCGATGGAGTTGAACTTGCCCCGTGATCCGGTGTCTCCTCCTCACTGAGACTCAGAAATGCATTGATGGTTTCCATGGTAACCGCAGCCAAAGTTGAATTAACAATGACAAAACATATATATTATATATAATCATATATTTTTCAAAAATAAACATGGAACAAAACATGGCACTAATATATTCCATAACAAACTGGAAATGACTCATATATACTGTATGTTATACCTGTCAATCAAAACTAAATAATCATTGACACATATCATCTATCTATATGCAGAACAAACCGTGTTTATTTCTGAAAATATATATTCTTTAATTTTAAGTGTCTCCTAGAAAAGACTTACATGTTTCTCCGGCTCCATTTTTCACACATTGTCCGTCTCAATTTACCTGTATTCAACATCTGTCTGAATTAGGGTACATGTTTACTCGCTAACAAACAGGGAAAACATTTAGAATCTTAACAACTATAACTGAAACGGTCTATATATAATATATATTTGTGACCCTGTCTTTAAGGGTAGTTTTTGAATACATGAATCCAACTTAATTTCTGCCAGTTTAGCACTTAAATATGTAAAAGATCTCACTCTTTACATAGATGGAGCAGAGGCTCATGGGTATTGTAGTACATAGACGGAACATTTCAATGTAAAATATGATGATGTTAAAATGATAATGAACCATTATTGGGTTGTCTCCGGGTACCTCGTTGTCCCAGATGAATTTTTAAACATCTAAAAAAAGATGACATACATACATACATCAAAATATATAAAACAATTGGCTATTCTTATTTATAATATTTCTACCAGAGCTGTAATTATTCAAGATTCCATTTCTGACCATTTAGTTGTACAAAGAAAAACAAAACTATTTAAAAAAAATATATATTAAGTATATATTAAGTAATATATAAGTTAAAGTCATCGCTCAAAATTCTTTCACTGCCAAAACAAACACAACAATGATGCTAACAGCTGCATGCTATCGCTTATAAAACCATTACAACAGCGTTATTACTATATATCACATTTTATGAATTTTTGGAGTAAAATGTAAGTAATAATAATATAGGAAAAGAGATTGGTATTAAAATGATTATCAAAATGAGATATTTATAAAGTTTAATTGTAATTGTTTGTAGATTCTTTCACAATATCCTGTTAGTTCCAATAAAAGATGAACATTTGATTCAATGGATGTGCCCCTTAAATATATTCCATCACCATGTGAATCTGAGACAAACAAAAATAAACAGTGCAGACAATAGAAAACGTACGATACATCTGTGTGTTTAGGACGAGTGTCTTCTTCCATCCATCCTACAGATGTCGGGTTGCTCTTCGGACGCGGCCTCCTCGCAGCCTGCAGCCTCTGGTCCCCGGGAGGTGGGCGGGGCCTGAGCCAGTCACCTGTCAAAGCTCTGATCATGTACAGTTTGTTTCCCCCCCAGCGCCCTTGAAGGTGGAGTTCCCAAAGTCAGCTGCTGAGGGTCCATCGAACTGTCTTGAGTTCAAGATCCTCCCAGAACTTCTGCAGTTTAGGGTCATACCTGAAAATGTGAGAAAAGTCCCCTATTGGACCTCAACCTCTACAGCAGAGAGGGAATACTTCTTGTCATACCTACAGTATAGTACTAGAGATGTTTTAAAATATCTCATTATTAGCTTCCAGCTAAACTCTCTCCAGGTTGGACTTAAACATTTGTGTCATTCATCATATGTAATTATGGTGTTACTTCCATTTACCATTTACCTTTTATACCCAATTCATCAATAGATGGATGTAATTGCTGTGATCTATTCCTGTTTAATTAGATGAAAACATGAGCAGGTCAAAGTTTATTGATGCATAAAATGATCAAACATTACAAAATGTATTAAACACAAACAAGTGAAGGTAAAATACAAACAGCAACCTTTTAAAAAAAGAGAAAAATAAACATAAATGTTGGAAATATGTTCAATAACAGATTAAAAGTGTAATAAATGCAAAGCTTTTTTTTATCAGAAATAGAAGAGAAGATGACTATATATCTAATAATATCACAAACGCACTGAAGCTTAAAGACAACATACGTCTTTTTTCTGCTTTTCAAACCAGCCTTCATTCAAAGTTTTCTAAAAAAAGCTTTGAAAAACAAAGTGAGGAAAAAAAATGAAATGTACAATAAACTCTCAATGCCAACATTTGAGTAAGAATATATGTAATAATCTAGACATTACAGGTCATTTAACTGAAGCTTTAATCCAAAGCGAATTACATTACATTTTTAACCCACATGGCTTTTTACATTTCGGCCTGGGGAACAATTAAGGGTTAGGTGTCTTGCTCAGGGACACTTCGACATGGGACATGGAGCAGCCAGGGCTTGAACCACCAACCAGCGCACCCTGTTTACCCCTGCACCACGATGACTCTATTAACAACAAGTAAAACCTTTAGAGACTTATGATGTATTTCCTTTAAATGATCTTTTCATGGGTTAACTACAAAACACTGTCTCATATCAGGCAAGAGGAAGTTCACACAATAATTACTCAAAAAGACAAAGCTGTGGTTTTTCATGTCGTCATCCGTTCCCCTGGTTCTGTCCGTGCAGATGTTTTATTCATCTGAACAAAGAGAAGGAAAAGAGATTGAAGGTTATTTAAGAGTAACAGGTGTACGTGTTGTGTTTGACCTTTGCTGCCTGCTGGTAGTAATACACAAGTACACTCACATTGTACTACATGGTCTGTTGTACTTGAAGTACCTGCAGCTGTTTACATCGTCACATTTTGGTAATCGCTGTCCTCTGGTTCATCATTCGTCCCTGTTAGAAGGATCAGATGAATGCATGAAGAGACACTTTGTTCTCCTTTATTAAAGCTCTGCTGGCCGACAAAAGCATCTCAACTACTGCAGCTTGTTCCCTTATAGAAGTATTCACATTAGCCATCAACGTCTTTAAGCTCAAACACAGAATCTGTGACATCATCGATACACTTTGTCTTTCATTTAAAGGACGGTCAACCAGTCACATGATCATCTGATTCTAGTATTTAACAGCTGTGTGATGAACACACAGGATTTACTGCACCTTGTTCACGTTGTCCAGAGCCTCTGATTGTTTCATAGAGACAAGAATCACCTGCAGAGCAGTGAAGATAAAGACGAGGTCATTCAATCATTTCAACCACATTGTATGAATTATATAATCTGCTCAAACAGATAATCAGAAATGTAAATGCATGAAAGTAAAGAACATATTATTAAACCAATCAGGATTAAAACTGACCATGAAGAAGAGCCGCGTAATGTTCGTCTTGAGTTTCACCCTGGTTGATCATGTGGTCTGTAGCTGGGCTCTGATTGGTCCTCTGAGACCTTGTGAGTCCAAAACATGAAGTAAATACAGAGGATTGAATGAGGAACATGTAAAGTCCTGCTGCCGTGTTCAGAGGGAGAGAAGAGAGGCTTGTACCAACCTGCTGAGGCTTGAAGCTGCAAGAAAACGGTTTCACATTGTTAATTAATGAGTGTGTGTAATAATATGTGTGACTTTGACTTATTTCAGTGAAATCAGTCTGATATCAGAAGGAAAAGATCTCACCTTTTGACTTTCTGTAGCGACGCAGAATCAGCAGCAGGAGAATAATCAGTAAAACTCCAGAAACCAGACCAACCACCAACAGCAGGAGAAACACAGAGCTTGATGCTGCTTCTTCAGGATCTACACACAAGTACACACCAACGATGAAGAGATACACAAGTACTACAACACACACACTCAAATACACTCACATGAACCTTTGATCACACAACATTCACCTTTCACTGCTGCTCATGTTAGTTTCATTTGTGTCTTTAAACACTAAAATGTATACAACTATATTGTCTCACACAAACAAACAGTTTAATTCAGTTACACCTTTTGTAACTCAGACTGTAACACATATTACAAAGAAAACATCTTCTACTCGTACTCACGTTCCACTGACAACCAACTCTCTGCTGAGGTCAAAGTCTCCAAACCTGGAGGTGAATTCCTTCCTCTACATTTATAAAAGCCTTCATCTGACTTAGTAACTGCAGAGATAAGCAGCTCCCCTCCGACACCATTTGGGAGGAGTTTGTCATTTTTATAGAAATCCACTTTATCAAGATGTTCTTTTGTCCTCAACATGCAGCCAAGAGTGACCGAATGTCCCTCAGTCACAGGATGGACAGAACTCACCAGGATGACATCACCACCTGTAAAGAGACCAGAGGACAGGAAGTCAAACAAGCTGATGTCCAATGAAGAGAAGACATTTATAGTTTACATTTGTTGTCCACATTCACACAGTAGCTGAGCGAATAGCTGCATTTCATGGATGAAAGAGACGGCCCTTTGGTGACGTACATGCTCACAGTTTTTGTTGTTACAATGTTGTTTATAATGAATGTTTGTTTTTGTTATAAAGACTACAACTTAAAAGTAATGAGTAATCACTTGAGAAAGTGTGTATTTTAGACACTGTTGTTTAATTGTTAAGATTATTTTAAACACAAAACCACACAGAGGGAGAATTCCACCAGGTGGAACATGTTGAACTAAAGACTCTTCCTGGTGTCCTCGTGCACTTTGTTCTCAACTCTCCATCATTTAACGGCTTATAAAGTCACCTTAAAATGTCAGCACTCTACAATAAGATGTGTAACTACTTTAGATGTAAAACCTTTAAATGAATATAAACTCACTGTGTGTAGTGATGTTGGCTGCATTGCTGGACTGTGTTGCAGACTCACACCAGTACACTCCACTACTCGCTCTAGTGTCGGTGTTGCATGTGGATCCAGTCATTTGTCCCCAGTAAGAACATGATGACATGAAGCCAGATTCATCAGCCTTCATCACTCTCCACTCAGCAGAGTTTCCCTCACAGCTCAGTGACAGTGACTCTGTGCTGAAGTGCTGCAGTCTGTGAGGACTCACTGTGAGAGACGCTGCTGGATTCACACCTGAAGACACGTCATTAGGAGACACACAGGACAAACAATGTCAACACAAACAGGACATTTATTCTCTTGTGCAAGAATATAAAAGTGTGAACAAACTCACCTCCAGACCAGACAAACTTCACATCACTGTACAGAGTGTAAAACACAGGATCTCCTCTTCCAGCTCTGCACACATATCCTGCTGTGTGTGTCTGTCCATGAAGAATGTAGGAATCCTGTTCAGTCCCAGTGGTGCTACCAGCTAGAAGCTCATAGGTGTAGTAGAGTGACAGTTCTGGAACAGCCTGATACCAGAAGAACCTCCATCCTGCAGACGGAGGTTCAACACTGCAGGTCAGAGTCACTGAGTCTCCAGGACTCGTCCATGATGGAGACACTGTGAGGACAGGCTGAGGGACATCTGTTGGAAAGATTTCACAGAATAAATCAGGATCAGGAAACATTTATTTACTAAAATATGCCAAACATACAAGGAATTTGTCTTGGCGGTTAGTGGGCGACAGTAGACAGACAAGACAGCAGTGCACAAGTAATAAAATAAAGTAAAATGAAATGCTAATGCAATGGGTTAGTAGAATAAGGCTATGGGTTAGTATAAAACAAGGGAATAAAGTTAAACATTTTAAATATTAAAAAAGTTAAAAGGAAAAATATTAAGCATAAAGTGCACTAACGAACAAGTAACAAACAAGTGACAAAGTGACGAGTGACGACAAAGTGATAAATTACAGTTAAAGTGGCATGTGCAGTGTGAAGGGGAGTGACCGGTGGAGTGTCAGAGTCAGGCAGTGGGGGACCGGGCTCTGTTGATGAGCCCGACTGCCGACGGGAAGAAACTGTTGGTGTGGCGGGAGGTCTTAGTCCTGATGGACCTCAGCCTCCTGCCAGATGGAAGGGGCACAAACAGTTTATGTCCGGGGTGGGAGGGGTCGGCCACGATCTTTTTAGCACGCTTCAGAGACCTGGAAGCGAAACAAGTCCTCCAGGGACGGCAGATTGCAGCCGATCACCCTCTCTGCAGAGCGGATGACACGCTGAAGCCTGCCCTTGTCCTTGGCTGTGGCTGCAGCGTACCAGACGGTGATGGAGGAGCAGAGGATGGACTCCATGATGGCCGTGTAGAAGTGGACCATCATCGTCTTTGGCAGGTTGAATTTCTTCAGCTGCCTCAGGAAGAACAACCTCTGCTGAGCCTTCTTGGAGATGGAGCTGATGTTCAGCTCCCACTTGAGGTCCTGGGTGATGATGG